AGAGGGTCAGGTACTCCAAAAGCACGAAGAACAACCCAGAGCCCAGGCCTACTGATGGTATCATAGGCCTTGACCAGGTCAATAAAGCAGATATGTAGGTCTTGCTGGAATTCCCTACACCTCTGCTGTAGCAGACGGGCAGAAAATATGGCATCTGTGCAGGACCGCCCTTTCCTGAAACCGCATTGGGGCTCCGCAAACCTCTCCTCAGCATGCCTGGCAAGGCGATGTTGAATAATCCTTGCCAGGACCTTTCCCGGCACACTGAGGAGTGAGATGCCCCTGTAGTTGTTACAGTCTGTGCGGTCCCCCTTCTTAAAGAGGGGGACCACCAGGGCATCCTTCCAATCCTGCAGAACCCGTCCAGTGGTCTAGACTGTTGTTTTGATGTCATATAGGGCAGTCTGTGCACAAACGCCACCCTCCCACAGGGGGTGACTTCTTCCAATATTTGAGGCACCGCAGCCTCAGCAGGGTCATCCTCACTTTGTGCATGATGTTTTCCTGGCTGAGGGATTTTCCCTCCCCCAGGACCTCACAGAAATGCTCAGCAAACCTGTGCACACCACCACACCATCACACACACACACAGAGTGCACATCACCACACCATCACCGGTGTTGGCCTTGAGTGGGAATCCAACTCGGTAGTGTGGAGGTGGATGATGGTGATGGAAGGGGGTAGCGTGGAGGTGGATGATGGTGATGGAAGGGGGTAGTGTGGAGGTGGATGAGGGTGATGGAAGGGGGTAGTGTGGAGGTGGATGATGGTGATGGAAGGGGGTAGTGTGGAGGTGGATGAGGGTGATGGAAGGGGGTAGCGTGGAGGTGGATGATGGAAGGAGGTAGTGTGGAGGTGGATGAGGGTGATGGAAGGGGGTAGCGTGGTGGTGGATGAGGGTGATGGAAGGGGGTAGTGTGGAGGTGGATGATGGTGATGGAAGGGGGTAGTGTGGAGGTGGATGAGGGTGATGGAAGGGGGTAGCATGGAGGTGGATGATGGTGATGGAAGGGGGTAGTGTGGTGGTGGATGATGGTGATGGAAGGGGGTAGTGTGGAGGTGGATGATGGAAGGGGGTAGTGTGGAGGTGAATGATGGAAGGGGGTAGTGTGGAGGTGGATGCTACGGTATGCAGTGTGTGCACGGAATGAGAGAGTCAATGGGTTGCCATGCAACGATGTCCCCGATTTGCCAACGGCGTTTGGACGATGGAACGTGAACCGATGCGGCTTAAACCGATTGTCGCCACTTGAATCTGTTTAAGATTAGAAGATAAGACGGAGGATGATGATGATAATTACTCCGCTCGAATGTTTCGCTGAACTCCAGCTCCGAGCGAGCCGGTTATCATCTCGCTTCATTTGCTTGAATATGTTAACTCCCTCGCCCGGTATACAGGAGCTCGTGGGTTCAATCCCGACCCTGATGCCTGCTGCACATTTGGAGTTTGCGCTGTCTCTCTCTCCGTACGGTTGCATGGATTTTTCTCCGGGCCCTCTGGTTTTCCCCTCCGCATTTAGAATCAACATCACCGCGCGTTTAGAGTGTTTGCCTGCGGTAAATGTCCACGTGATGATGATGATAAGCCACTTGGCAGAGCTACCATTTGCAATAGGCCTGGTCGCTTCTGACCAAAGAGCTACCGAGCTCAATGGGCCTTACCTGGTAAAATAAAAAATGTTTCTAGTTTAGTTACTCGCCATGGTAGGGTGGGGTCAGGAGCAGCTGTGCCGTGGCCCGGAGTGGAAGGTGCACGCATGATGCGCTGTGCGTAGTAAACATCGCCACTGGGAAGACAAAGGCGGCCGGGAGTGGTGATGGCCACCCACCCCCCTCGTGTGCCGAGGCGGCCTTCATAGGTGATGCTACTGCTAGCGAGCAGCACTTACCCCAGCAGTCTGTCAAGGCTATCCGGGGGATCGTTGTCTTTGTTGTTGTATCACGGGTTCCCACGCTGGGCGGCGTTGCTCTGCTCAACCTCTCTTCCTGGCCTCTGGTTGTTGTTGTTGTTTATTATCCGTGTGGTCGTTTCTGCTGTTGGTGTTTATTATCCGTGTGGTCGTTTGTTGTTTATTATCCGTGTGTCTTTCCTGTTGTTGTTTATCCGTGTGTCTTTCCTGTTGTTGTTCATCCGTGTGTCTTTCCTGTTGTTGTTTATCCGTGTGTCATTCCTGTTGTTGTTTATCCGTGTGTCATTCCTGTTGTTGTTTATCCGTGTGTCTTTCCTATTGTTGTTTATCCGTGTGTCTTTCCTGTTGTTGTTTATCCGTGTGTCTTTCCTGTTGTTGTTTATCCGTGTGTCTTTCCTGTTGTTGTTTATCCGTGTGTCTTTCCTGTTGTTGTTTATCCGTGTGTCTTTCCTGTTATTGTTGTTTATCCGTGTGTCTTTCCTGTTATTGTTGTTTATTCGTGTGTCTTTCCTGTTGTTATTTATCCGTGTGTCATTCCTGTTGTTGTTATTCATCCGTGTGTCATTCCTGTTGTTGTTTATCCGTGTGTCATTCCTGTTGTTGTTGTTTATCCGTGTGTCATTCCTGTTGTTGTTGTTTATCCGTGTGTCATTCCTGTTGTTGTTGTTTATCCGTGTGTCATTCCTGTTGTTGTTTATCCGTGTGTCATTCCTGTTGTTGTTGTTTATCCGTGTGTCATTCCTGTTGTTGTTGTTTATCCGTGTGTCATTCCTGTTGTTGTTGTTTATCCGTGTGTCATTCCTGTTGTTGTTGTTTATCCGTGTGTCATTCCTGTTGTTGTTTATCCGTGTGTCATTCCTGTTGTTGTTGTTTATCCGTGTGTCATTCCTGTTGTTGTTGTTCATCCGTGTGTCTTTCCTGTTGTCGTTGTTCATCCGTGTGTCTTTCCTGTTGTCGTTGTTCATCCGTGTGTCTTTCCTGTTGTCGTTGTTCATCCGTGTGTCTTTCCTGTTGTTGTTGTTTATCCGTGTGTCATTCCTGTTGTTTATTATCCGTGTGTCTTTCCTGTTGTTGTTGTTTATCCGTGTGTCATTCCTGTTGTTGTTGTTTATCCGTGTGTCTTTCCTGTTGTTGTTATTGATCCGTGTGTCATTCCTGTTGTTGTTTATCCGTGTGTCTTTCCTGTTGTTGTTTATCCGTGCGTCTTTCCTGTTGTTTATCCGTGTGTCTTTCCTATTGTTGTTTATCCGTGTGTCTTTCCTGTTGTTGTTTATCCGTGTGTCTTTCCTGTTGTTGTTTATCCGTGTGTCTTTCCTGTTGTTGTTGTTGTTGTCTATCCGTGTCTTTCCTGTTGTTGTTTATCCGTGTGTCTTTCCTGTTGTTGTTTATCCGTGTGTCTTTCCTGTTGTTGTTGTTTATCCGTGTGTCTTTCCTGTTGTTGTTTATCCGTGTGTCTTTCCTGTTGTTGTTGTTTATCCGTGTGTCTTTCCTGTTGTTGTTGTTTATCCGTGTGTCTTTCCTGTTGTTGTTGTTTATCCGTGTGTCTTTCCTGTTGTTGTTGTTGTTGTTTATCCGTGTGTCTTTCCTGTTGTTGTTGTTGTTTATCCGTGTGTCTTTCCTGTTGTTGTTGTTGTTTATCCGTGTGTCTTTCCTGTTGTTGTTGTTTATCCGTGTGTCTTTCCTGTTGTTGTTGTTTATCCGTGTGTCTTTCCTGTTGTTGTTGTTCATCCGTGTGTCTTTCCTGTTGTTGTTTATCCGTGTGTCTTTCCTGTTGTTGTTTATCCGTGTGTCTTTCCTGTTGTTGTTTATCCGTGTGTCTTTCCTGTTGTTGTTTATCCGTGTGTCTTTCCTGTTGTTGTTTATCCGTGTCATTCCTGTTGTTTATTATCCGTGTCTTTCCTGTTGTTGTTTATTATCCGTGTCTTTCCTGTTGTTGTTTATTATCCGTGTCTTTCCTGTTGTTGTTGTTGTTTATCCGTGTGTCTTTCCTGTTGTTGTTTATCCGTGTGTCTTTTCTGTTGTTGTTGTTTATCCGTGTGTCATTCCTGTTGTTGTTTATCCGTGTCTCTTTCCTGTTGTTGTTTATCCGCGTGTCTTTCCTGTTGTTGTTGTTTATCCGTGTGTCTTTCCTGTTGTCGTTTATCTGTGTCTTTCCTGTTGTTGTTTATCCGTGTGTCATTCCTGTTGTTGTTTATCCGTGTGTCATTCCTGTTGTTTATTATCCGTGTGTCTTTCCTGTTGTTGTTGTTGTTGATCCGTGTGTCTTTCCTGTTGTTGTTTATCCGTGTGTCTTTCCTGTTGTTGTTTATCTGTGTCTTTCCTGTTGTTGTTGTTTATCCATGTGCCTTTCCTGTTGTTGTTTATCCGTGTGTCATTCCTGTTGTTTATTATCCGTGTGTCTTTCCTGTTGTTGTTGTTGTTGATCCGTGTGTCTTTCCTGTTGTTGTTTATCCGTGTGTCTTTCCTGTTGTTGTTTATCTGTCTTTCCTGTTGTTGTTGTTTATCCATGTGCCTTTTCTGTTGTTGTTTATCCGTGTGTCTTTCCTGTTGTTGTTTATCCGTGTGTCATTCCTGTTGTTGTTTATCCGTGTGTCTTTCCTGTTGTTGTTGTTCATCCGTGTGTCTTTCCTGTTGTTGTTTATCCGTGTGTCTTTCCTGTTGTTGTTTATCCGTGTGTCTTTCCTGTTGTTGTTTATCCGTGTGTCTTTCCTGTTGTTGTTTATCCGTGTGTCTTTCCTGTTGTTGTTGTGTATCCGTGTGTCATTCCTGTTGTTGTTTATCCGTGTGTCATTCCTGTTGTTGTTTATCCGTGTGTCTTTCCTGTTGTTGTTTATCCGTGTGTCTTTCCTGTTGTTGTTTATCCGTGTGTCATTCCTGTTGTTGTTTATCCGTGTGTCATTCCTGTTGTTGTTCATCCGTGTGTCGTTCCTGTTGTTGTTGTTTATCCGTGTGTCTTTCCTGTTGTTGTTGTTGTTCCGTGTGTCTTTCCTGTTGTTGTTGTTTATCCGTTTGTCTTTCCTGTTGTTGTTTATCCTTGTGTCTTTCCTGTTATTGTTGTTTATCCGTTTGTCCATTCCTCCTCCAACACAGGAAAGGGTTTTGCCGCTGACCAAGGAATTCTACTACACGGATATCAAGAACACGCCCTTCAGGTGAGTACCACCATCGCCACCACCACCACCACCGTCGTCACCACCACCACCGGCATGCTCATCGTCATTGTCACCGTCGTCATCGTCGTCACCATCATCATCGTCACCGTCATCATCATCATTATCATCATCGTCGTCATCGTCACCTTCATCATCGTGATCGTTATCATCATCATCATCATCGTTACTGTCATCGTCATCGTCACCATCATCACCTTGATCGTCACCGTCATCATCATCTTGATCGTCACCATCATCATCACCGTAATCATCGTTACCATCATCGTGATCATCACCATCGTCATCATCACCGCCATCATCATCGCTCTCATCGTCATCATCACCATCATCATTGTCATCATCATTGTCATCATCGTCACTGACATCATCGTCATCATCGTCATCATCATCATCATCGTCATCATCAACACCGTTATCGTTATCATCACCATTATGATTGTCATCATCATTGTCACCGTCATCACCGTCATCATCATTGTCACCCTTACCATCGTCAATGTCGGCACCGTCATCATCACCACCGTCATCATCACCACCATCATCATCATCACCACCGTCATCATCACCACCACCACCGTCATCATCACCACCACCACCATCATCATCACCACCACCATCATCATCACCACCACCACCATCATCATCACCGCCATCATCACCACCGCCATCATCACCACCGCCATCATCACCACCGCCATCATCACCACCGCCATCATCACCACCGTCATCATCACCACCGTCATCATCACCACCGTCATCATCACCACCGTCATCATCACCACCGTCATCATCACCACCGCCATCATCACCACCATCATCACCACCACCATCATCACCACCATCATCACCACCACCATCATGATCACCACCACCATCATCACCACCACCATCATCACCACCACCATCATGATCACCACCGTCATCATCACCACCGTCATCATCACCACCGTCATCATCACCACCACCATCATGATCACCACCGTCATCATCACCACCGTCATCATCACCACCACCATCATGATCACCACCGTCATCATCACCACCGTCATCATCACCACCACCATCATCATCACCACCATCATCACCATCACCACCATCATCACCACCGTCATCATCACCACCGTCATCATCACCACCACCACCATCATCATCACCACCGTAATATCATCACCGTCATCATCATCACCGTCATCATCACCAGCCGCGATCACTCCACCGCCGGCTATCGGCCTCCTCCCCGCTCTGCCGCCACTGCCGTGGCCCCCGCCGTGGCCCCCGCCGCCTCCTCGCCTCCTCCTCCTCTCGTCCTCCTCCTTGCGGCAATCCGCCCCGCAGGGCGCTCCGTGGGCGCCCCGCCACGCCGCTCCGTCTCCGCTGCGAACGCCCTCGCGGACGCCTTCCGTCGCTTTTGCCCCGCCGCTCCGCGATCAGTGGCCCTCCTCGCTCCCTTCTCTTTGTCATCGTCGTCATCGTCATCATCGCCGTGGTCTATCCACTGCTGGATGGAGATCAGTATCGTGATGACGTCACGACACTGCGCATCAGTGTCATCATCGCCGTGGTCTATCCACTGCTGGTTGGAGATCAGTATTGTGATGACGTCACGACACTGCGCATCAGTGTCATCATCATCGCCGTGGTCTATCCACTGCTGGTTGGAGATCAGTGTGGTGAGGACATCACAACCCAACGTGTGTTCTCTGCTCCGTGTGTTCCTCATTCTCGGCCTGTCTCTCTTCACATCGCACGGCAATCACGGACGTCCCACGGCCTCCGTCTCTGTCCCCGCATCTCGCCTCGTCCCCGTTGTGTCTCACTCAGCCTTGGAATTGTCGTGGGTGGCTCCTATGGGAAGTTCATCTTCAGCGCCAACGTCTCCCTGGCCGAAGGTGCACGGGGGACTGCGACACAGGGACACGGGGACACGGGGCACTGGGTCACGGGGACACGGGGCACTGGGACACGGGGCATTGGGACACGGGGACACGGGGCACTGGGCACTGGGACACGGGGCACTGGGACACGGGAACACGGGGCACTGGGCACTGGGACACGGGGCACTGGGACACGGGGCATGGGACACGGGGCACTGGGACACGGGGGTGAGTGACTGGGTGAATAAGTGACTGCGTGAGTGAGTGACTGGGCGAGTGAGTGCGCGAGTGAATGCGTGAGTGAGCGAGTGAGTGACTGAGTTAGTGAGTGACTGCGTGAGTGAGTGACTGCGTGAGCGAGTGACTGCGTGAGCGAGTGACTGTGTGAGTGAGTGAGTGACTGCAGGAGTGACTGCGTGAGTGAGTGACTGCATGAGCGAGTGACTGTGCGAGTAAGTGCCTGCATAAGTGAGTGAGTGACTGCATGAGCGAGTGACTGCGTGATCGAGTGAGTGACTGCGTGATCAAGTGATGGGATGAGTGAGTGACAGCGTGTGAGTGACTGGATGAGCGAGTGACTGCGTGATCGAGTGACTGTATTAGCGAGTGACTGCATACACGAGTGACTGCATACACGAGTGACTGCACGAGCGAGTGACTGGATTAGCGAGTGACTGCGTGAGCGAGTGACTGGGCGAGTGAGTGACTGGGCGAGTGAGTGACTGGATTAGCGAGTGACTGCATGAGCGAGTGACTGTGCGAGCGAGTGACTGGATTAGCGAGTGACTGGATTAGCGAGTGACTGCACGAGCGAGTGACTGGATTAGCGAGTGACTGCACGAGCGATTGACTGGATTAGCGAGTGACTGCGCGAGCGAGTGACTGGATTAGCGAGTGACTGGGCGAGCGAGTGACTGGATTAGTGAGTGACTGGATTAGCGAGTGACTGGATTAGCGAGTGACTGGATTAGTGAGTGACTGCGCGAGCGAGTGACTGGATTAGCGAGTGACTGGATTAGTGAGTGACTGCACGAGCGAGTGACTGGGCGAGCAAGTGACTGGATTAGCGAGTGACTGGATTAGTGACTGCGCGAGCGAGTGACTGGATTAGCGAGTGACTGGAATAGTGAGTGACTGCACGAGCGAGTGACTGGGCAAGTGACTGGATTAGCGAGTGACTGAATTAGCGAGTGACTTCACGAGCGAGTGACTGGATTAGCGAGTGACTGCGCGAGCGAGTGACTGGATTAGCGAGTGACTGGATTAGCGAGTGACTGCACGAGCGAGTGACTGGATTAGTGAGTGACTGCACGAGCGAGTGACTGCGCGAGCGAGTGACTGGGCGAGCGAGTGACTGGATTCGCGAGTGACTGGATTAGCGAGTGATTGGATTAGCAAGTGACTGCGCGAGCGAGTGACTGGATTAGTGAGTGACTGCGTGAGCGAGTGACTGGATTAGCGAGTGACTGGGCGAGCGAGTGACTGGATTAGCAAGTGACTGGATTAGCGAGTGACTGGATTAGCGAGTGACTGAATTAGCGAGTGAGTGACTGGGCGAGCGAGTGACTGGATTAGCGAGTGACTGGATTAGCGAGTGACTGGGCGAGCGAGTGACTGGGCGAGCGAGTGACTGGATTAGTGAGTGACTGCGTGAGCGAGTAACTGGATTAGCGAGTGACTGGATTAGCGAGTGACTGGATTAGCGTGTGACTGGGCGAGCGAGTGACTGGGCGAGCGAGTGACTGGATTAGTGAGTGACTGCGTGAGCGAGTAACTGGATTAGCGAGTGACTGGATTAGCGAGTGACTGGATTAGTGAGTGACTGGATTAGCGAGTGACTGGATTAGCGAGTGACTGGATTAGCGAGTGACTGGGCGAGCGAGTGACTGGATTAGCGAGTGATTGGATTAGCGAGTGACTGCACGAGTGACTGGATTAGCGAGTGACTGGGCGAGAGAGTGACTGCACGAGTGAGTGACTGGATTAGCGAGTGACTGCACGAGCGAGTGACTGGATTAGCGAGTGACTGCGCGAGCGAGTGACTGTGCGAGCGAGTGACTGGGCGAGCGAGTGACTGGATTAGTGAGTGACTGGATTAGCGAGTGACTGGGCGAGCGAGTGACTAGATTAGCGAGTGACTGGATTAGCGAGTGACTGCACGAGCGAGTGACTGGATTAGCGAGTGACTGCACGAGCGAGTGACTGTGCGAGCGAGTGACTGGGCGAGCGAGTGACTGGATTAGCGAGTGACTGGGCGAGCGAGTGACTAGATTAGCGAGTGACTGGATTAGCGAGTGACTGCACGAGCAACTAGATTAGCGAGTGACTGGGCGAGAGAGTGACTGCACGAGCGAGTGACTAGATTAGCGAGTGACTGGATTAGCGAGTGACTGGATTAGCGAGTGAATGCGTGAGCGAGTGAGCGGTTCACCTGCCGCCCGGACCTCGGCTCCACCCCGAGGTCTCTCTCTCCGGTGGCAGCGGCGAGAGCTGCCGGAGCCGCGAGCCCGCCAGACGTTCGTTCCGAGCGTCCGCTGTTGACTGCAAGCGGGAGACTCGTCCCCCTCCACCCCCTCACTCTCTGTCTCTCTTTCTCCTTTGCCTCCGGCTGGACGTGCCGGTGCCTCGCAGCCCTGGAGGACCTGGCCCACCCTGACGTGATGCTCTCCAACGAGTGGTGAGTTCCCCCGCACGGTTGAGTCTCAAGCAACTCGTTGGCCGGCGGGGGTCCTTGCCGGTTGTTCACGGTGGGGAGGGTGGAGCGATGTTGCGTTGTTTGCGGGTGGGTAAGTGCATGAGTGTGGGTGGGTGAGTGCATGGGTGTGTGAGTGGGTGGGTGGTGTAGGCGCAGCTTTCTTGTACCAAAAAATAAGCTACGCATTAACTTGTGGGAGCAAAAAGTCTGACACGTGTTTGAGGTGTCTTAAATCAAACTGTTTATTTATTTCTTATTTGAACAAAAACGAGCGTTTTCTAAGGTTATATCTTCGCCTGTTCACGTACTGTATCATCCGGTCGCACGTACTGTATCGCCTCGTCGCACGTACTGTCACCCCGTCGCACGTACTGTATAGCCTCGTCGCACGTACTGTATCATCCGTTCGCACGTACTGTGTCACCCCGTCGCATGTACCAGCCCCTAATTGGCTAGGCAGGGAGCATACCAATTACTCTTAACTTTAACCTTAAGAGCCACAAACTCTAAATAATAATGTTTACTTATAACAATAATAATTTATTGTATTTCTGCCACTTATTGGCTTTCTTGAGCCTTCTCTTTATCTTATCCGTATATTTTCATGCTGCTTCTTGTAGCAGACAGACTTTTTAAAAGGTCGCTCTAGTGTGCTGAACTTCGTTTTAACACACACACTGAACTGTTGGAGTCTGGTATGGTCTTGATGATTCTTCTGGCTGAAGCGGATTAGGTCGATCTCAGCCTGGGTCCAATGTTCCACTGTAAGCAGTTTCTTTTCAGTGTTGTTTTGAGTTTCTGCATTAGCTGCTTGAGAAGTATCTTGTTTCTCAGGGTTACTTTCAGCCTGATTGATTGTATCTCGGTACCCTTTCCTTGTATTCCTCAAGTGCAGCAGGATCTCTTTCAGTCAGAGAAACCAGGCAACTGCTGTCTTCGGCCGATGCCAATTTGAGTAGTGATTGATAAGTCTGTTCACTGTGTTAGAGTTCTCCTTGATACTGACGAGGTTGACTGTTACCGACTTCTTGATCGCATCATCATCTGAATTGGTTGTTCTGGCCATTCACTTGGAGCCTTCCACAGGAATTTGGGTTCCTGAATCCATTTTTCACTTTTTTCAAGTTTTCAGCTTTCAAACCTTTTGAAGCATGATCTGCTGGGTTTACAAAGGTATTGATATACTTCCAATGGGTCGATTTTGTGGCCTCACGGATTGTAGCGATCCTGTTTGCAACCAAGGTCTTGGAACGAGTGGTTTAATTCTCTATGTACTTCAGCACTGTAGTGCTATCCGTCCAAAAGGTAGACTCTTCGAGCGGCACTTGATGTTCTTGCCCAAGCATCTTATCCACCTTCATGGCTCTTTATTCTTCTGTGATAGATGGTATGACAACTCTGCTGTTGCTTACCCACTTTGTCAAGTTGAATCTCTCACTAGAACGCAGTTCGGAGATCTCTTGACAGGGTGACAACACGGTCTTCAGATGACACAGGCTTCAAGCAGTCGTCGTTGTAGAAGTTTCTGCGTACTGTGTCAACCGCCTCTGGTGTTGACTCGGTTCTTCCATCTTCAGCTGTTCTTCTTAGTGCATAGGATGCACAGCTGGGTGATGACGTGGCTCCAAACGGGTGCACACTCATACTGTACTCCTCTTTGGCTTGACTCAGGTCGCCATCGGGCCACCACTCGATGTCCGCCATCATACCCCAAAGTTCCTTTCTAAATCTGGTCAACACACCATTGAGAGTGTTGGCGAGATTGGCTCTTTGGAGAAACTGCTCATTCAATGAGGTTCCTTGGTATGTTGCAGTGCAGCCGAAGACTACACGGATCTTCTTTTTATTTGGGTGGTACACCCCATGATGAGGAATACACCACACTCTTCCGTCTTCTCGTTCCAGCTGCCTTTTAGGAACCTTCACAGCAAAGCCCTTTACAATATCTCTCGTGAAGCCTTTGTGTTCCTCATGGAAATCTGGGTTCTTGCTCGGCCTTCTCTTGAGACTGCTGATGCGCGGCCTTGCAACGCAGCGGTTGTTCAGCAGTTCCATCTTCTCACTTCTCAATGGCAAACCAGTGATATAGTGTCCATCGACCAGCTCAGCTGACCTTGTCACAGATTGCATGAACTGATGGTCGTCTTGTGACATCTCTGGTTTGTCCTCGCAACAGCGTTCTGAGAAGTCTGTTTTGTATTGTTGGACTAACAGTTCTTGAATGTTTGAGATGGAGATACGGTTTGCTGTGAAACATTGCCATTTTCCATTGGCATCTCCTGTTCTTATAGGTCCGTTCACTACCCAGCCGAGAGTGGCCTTGATTTCGTAGGGTACATCACCTTCATTATTTATCACCTTCCATGGCTCCAATGCTTTGTGTGCATTAGTTCCTATCAGCCGGCCTATCTCTGCCTCAATGCATGGGAGGTGCACTTCTCTCAGATAGGGCCATCTCTCGACATCATGCTGTAGTGGTATGATTCCTTTATTCACTGGAATGTCACTGTAGGTGAAGACCTTTGGCAGGTCAATATAATCTCCCTCCTCAAGTCCACTCACTTCCAGGTCTGACAGGATATAACTGGATACCAACTTCTCCTGACCCATGGTTCGCAGAAAGATTTCAGTCTTCCTGCCTCTGATGTTGAGTTGTTTCCTCAGGGTTTCAGTACAAAACGTCGCTGAACTCCCTGGATCCATGAATGCGTATGTCTCCACACTCTTCGCACTTTGTTTGGATTTGATTTTCACTGGAACGATGGCGAGAATACAATGTCCGTCTCCAGCCCCGGTGTAGCCACAAGTTTCATGCTGAAGGGACGCAATAGCCCTTGAGGCCATCTTCTCTTCAGTGGTGGCATCTTCATTCGTTTTAGAGGTGAAACTGTTTTCTTTAATGACGTGCAGCATGCTTGGATGGTTACACTCTTGACATGTCACTTTTCTTACACTCCTTGCTGAGGTGCCCTTGTATAAGACATCCAAAGCAAAGTCCTCTTTTCTTCAGAAACTCAATTCTGTCTTTCTGTGGCTGTTCTCTGACCTTAATGCGAGAGTCTAGTGTGTGATTCTTCTCACAGAACAAGCAGGGTTTCTGGAAGGCAATAGGCTTGTCTAGACTATTTTTCTGAGGCGAGTCTTGTGCTTTCCTCTCTTCAGAAGACATGACGCTTATTGCAAAACTGCTTCCTTTAAGGCCACTTTTCTGATAGATCTTTATGTCTGCTGTCGTCTTTTCCCTTTCCTGCAATACCTCTGTTGGTGTCCTGCATGTCTCCAAACAGCGGATCCATTGCAACTTTGGCTTGCTTGTCGACGAAGTCCACCAAGTCTGTGAACCTGGCTCTTCTTCCTCGTCTTTCTTGAACATTGAAGGCCTTCTCTCTCCACTTCTCTTTCATCTTATACGGAAGCTTTGAGATGACCACTCGCATATTCGTGGGATTATCCACTTCATCCATGTACTCAATATCTTCCATGGTGTTCTGACATCCAATCAAGAACAAACAATGCATACGTGTGCAACGCTTTTCCATCTTCATTTCTGATCTGAGGCCACTGCCAAGCTTTCTCCATATAGGCACTGGCTATCTTCAGCTCATCACCATAGTGCTTCTGAAGTAGCTTCCTGGCTTCCTGGTAGCCTCTGGTTGGACTCATATGTTCACAATTGCGCACGAGATTTTGTGGTTCTCCACTGGTCAATTGTTCCAGGTAATAAAACTTGTCTTGGCTACTCTGTCTTACGGTGAATGGTGTGCTCGAAAGTTCTGATGAAGGACTTGTAGACAAGTGGATCACCCTTGAACACAGGAATGTCTCTCTGAGGAAGGTGAGACAAATTTTGCTGTTTTACAAGCATCTCTGTAATCTCGTTCTGACGCTGCATTACTTGATCAAGATCTATTTCATTCTTGTCAGGCATCTGGTGGTGTTGACTTGGGTCTGGTCTGTAGTATGCTGTACTTGTACCAGCCTCTCCACCTCTTGAAGGAGTTGATTTAGAGTCCTCATATGCTCCTATAGCATGAGCCGGCTGGGCCTTCTCAAATGCTCTGTCTCCATACCAGTGGTTCTTAACCTTGTTGGAGGTACCGAACCCCACCAGTTTCATATGCGCATTCACCGAATCCCTCTTTAGTGAAAAATAAAATGTGATTTTTTTCAAATTCAAGACATAGATATGTTTTTTACTGGTACACAAAATGAGCCGTGCATGAACATTACCTTGTTCAAAGAATAAAACCAACACAATGCATACACTCACAACAAATTACATACCTGGAAATCAATGTGACTTCTGCTGTTGCCTTTGAGAGATCAGTTCAGATATGCGTGGCTTCACCTTGGCAAGTGCCACTCTCATGTCATTTTCACAGCAAAGTCTGTTCCTTTTCTTCGTTTTTATGTCCAGCATCCTCGAAAAGGATTGCTCACAAAGATATGTTGTAACAAATGGTATAAAAAAATCCAGGGCTTTCTTAGCAATAACTGGATACTTGTTCATTTGTCGACACCAAAACGTTGAGAGCGTTGTTGTTCTGAAGAGTTGCTGTTGAACCTGGCTCTGCTGAATTTCAATGATTTCGTCGAGGAATTCATCATTGACATCTGCTGTTTCAACAGCAAACGTGAACGGCTGTCTCACCCATGCTGGATATGACTCTCTTGTAGGGAAATATCCGTCGAGAGACTTTGCAAGCTCATCTAAGTGCGTGGCAATTGTTTGCTTCAGTTCCGTGGATACAGAAATATCTCCGATTCCAGACACATCTTCGATCTTACTTGCACAGTCGTCCAGAAGCGGGAAGTTTGCGAAGTTATTGTTCTCTGTTCGTCGTTTCCATAACGGTAGCTTTTTTTGAAAAGCCTTCAGGTGTTCTTCCGCTTCCATGATATTGACTCCACCACCCTGCATCTGCTGATTGAGATGATTGAGAGCTGCGAATATATCAGCCATGTATGCAAAAATGAGAATG